TATGAGTGTCTGTCTTGTATTGCTTAGGGGAGATCAGAGCTAACAAATCTTACAAGCCTTTATCAGAGGGAAATGTAAGCTGTTTTTAAATATTTGTGTCTTTACTTGGAGGCAGTAGGAAATGTGGTGAGAGTTTTAAGTGAAGGCTTGCTGCGGAGAGACCCTGGGGTGTGTCGTGTCTGGCTTCGCAGAGCTCCTCTCCAAATCTGTGAGAGGTGATGGCTTCCCCATCAGAGCAGAGGGGGCAGTTATGCTGTTCAACATTGTGCAACAGAGAGGAGTGAGAGTTAATGATGGCATTTATGCTTTTTGTCATTATTAAAGAGGTTGCAATGGGTGTTTCAGTTCCCAAAGAAGAGAAGGAAGAGGAGGAGGTTTCCAGCACCCTCAGCTATGGCTCTCCAGTCAGCGCAGCCAGGCCCAGCAGAAGCTGGCGCAGCAGCAGGTCGGCCGCCGCGGCTCGCCAGCGTGACACTGAGAATTCACGTGCCTCCAGATCCAAGACTGGTTCCCTGCAGCTCGTCTGCAAGTCGGAGCCAAACACAGACCAGCTCGAATATGGTAGGGGGGCAGCCCCGGCATGAGGGTGCCTGGATATAGTCAGGTCTTGGGAATCTTTGAAGGGAGCTGGGTGTGGGTGTGACTTGGTGAGCTGTATGCAGCCTGTGGCTGGTGCAGGCGTGGTGCTTCTTGGTCATGAGTACCTTCTGCCACCAGCACTCCTGGCACTGAATGTCGATGGAGGTATCTTGAGACAGATGGGCTCACTGCAGTGAACACAGATTGAAACCTAATGGTGACTTTTCCTTTCAGAGGTCACAGAAGAGCACCAGTCTCCAGCTGGAATCAGGTAGAAAGCTCTTTATTTTGTGGTATTTCTTACTATTTAGTGTCTCAAGAAGAGAAAATAAGGGCCTGAGTGTTTTCAAAATAAATGCTTCTGCGAAAGGATCTATGGGACGGATAGCAGTTCTGTTTTCATTCAGTCCTGGACCTTTGCATTTTCAGTCTGGATTGCAGATAGACTGCAGATGTCAGGAGATATTGTGGAGAAACAGATAGTAAGATTTGATCTGGGCATTTCACCTGGTAGGTTTATCCCTTCGGGAGCAGATGCTGTAGGTAGGTGGGCTCACAAGGGAAGGCTCCTCTGCCCGGCCTGTCTGTTTGGCTGTCATCTTGCTCTTTAGTCAGCGCACGCTGTAGCTTTCCCCAGTTGCGCTGTATGAGAAAGCACCGGGTAATGGTGCCTTTCCCATCCTAGGGAATGATGCACTAATATTCTTGCAGTAGTGCTTGAGCTGTTGCTGCTAAAGTCCTCTCTTCTCCTTTTCTCCCAGCAGTGATGATGAGGAGGAGATGCTCATCAGTGAGGAGGAAGTTCCCTTCAAAGATGATCCAAGAGATGAAACCTACAAGCCCCACCTAGAGAAGTATATTGGATTATGTGTTTTTATACCAAAAAAATTTACATCTTAATTGAATGAGCTTAATACAACCCAAAGAACCTGTGTTCGTTGCTGGGGTGGAATGGCTGCCATCGCACGTTGTTTTCTAGACGTGGCATGCAGCTATCAAGACTGTTCTTCTCTAACAGACTCTAAAGCCTTTAGAGCCCTGCTGACTGCCAGGTTCTTCCTTAATCCTTGTTCACACTTCTGCTTGGAAGTGGGACTTGATAAATAGACTTAAACTTTGATCCAGTTTTTGCTTAAATCTTCGTAAAAAGCAGACAATGGGAAGAGTATTGGAGTAATATATTGTGTTTGTATCTTTGTAGGGAAGCGCCAAAGCAAAGGAGAAAAGCTAGCAAGGGGAAGGAGGAAAAAGAGAAACAGAAAGAGATTAAAGTAGAAGTGAAAGAAGAGAGTGAGTGTCAGGAAGATGAGGAACCACCCAGGAAGTGAGTAAAACTCTGCAGTTATGTAGCAGTGTGTATTGTATGTTTTGTGTTCTGGCTAGTGTTCAACAATGTTTTGTTGTTGTTGTTGGCTTCCCCCCTCCTCCTCTGGGCCTGAAAGCCTTTTGTTCTGATAGAAGTCCTGCTTCCTAGTATCTTGTACATGTTTGGCAAGGAAAAATAAAAGAGTTGGTATTTTCATTTAGTTTAAGTTGACGGGTTTCTCTCCGTACCGTAGTTTAGTCGGCCTACCTGTGTACAGTAGTGAAATACTTCAGAGCATTCTTAAAATTGGCTTCTGTTATGATGTCTGAAGTGGATTAGACTGGATTAGAAAGCCAGTCTGAGAAGGCAAGATCTCTTCTGTTGTGTACCTAGAGGCAGACACGCGAATACTTTGTACGTGTTGTGTGGTAAGTGTCCTCTTTGTACATTTGGGAGTAACATGCCAGACCTCAGGAAAAACAGCTGTGTTCTCCTTTGCTTTGGAGAAATAAAAGAACAAACTTTTGCTACCTGGTCAGTCACTAGTGCTTTGAGTGGAGACTCAGAACCCTTGGGTTTGCTGTCACTGGAACTCAACATGGAAGCTTTCCTTCTGGCAACTGAGGTAGATTGGATTTAAGTGTCTGTGTGAAAGCCATTCTTTGGAATCCTGGGGGTGGGGGGGGAAACCCAAAAAAAAAAAAAAAAAACCAAAAAACCAAACTTCAGCTCCTCTGTGAGCAATTGGAACAAATGGTGCTCCCTCTGCTGGTGTGTGGCCTGGGGTTCTGCACACCTGGGTTTTAATTTCTCTTGCTGTTCCCAAGCTGCTGCAGAGCTGATTTATGTTGGAGGGCTGTAAGGATGCTGATATTCTGAGAACTTTTTTTTTTCCCTGTTAGAGATGGCTTTCTCAGGCTTGTGGATGTGTTGTTTGGATCATACACTACTTTTGTTCACAATAAAACCTGTGTCTCTTCTGAAGGTGTTGCTTGAATGCTGAGTGCCTGTTCAGCATGTTACTGGCATGGTCTTGCTGTCGACAAAGATGTCTCAGTACAGTCTAGAAAAGACTTCCATCAATCTCCTGTAAGCGTCTCTGCAGCAATACGATTGAACAGGCACGATGTTCTGGGCAGAGCTATTGCTTGGGAGGGTGCATTTTACGTGTCAGCATGGGTCTGCTCAGATGGAGCATTGATTTTTGTATTGACAGGTGTATAAGCTGCTACAGTTAATTCAGAGGACTGTAAAATAGCTGCCAGATCATTAATCCTGTTCTTCCTAGGCATGCAGATTGATGTTTTTCACGTGGTATGAAACATTACCCAACAGAGCAGAGGAAATACAGTGCACCATCAGTTCTGGACTGTGTTGGCAAAATTATGTTTATTAAAAAAATGTATTAGGAAAGGGGAGGGGCATTTATTTCTCAAGAACGTTGCCTTCCTCTGAATCTGCCTCCAACTTGCTCTTGATTGATTTTTCTAGAGCTTGCAATTAATGAGGCGATAGCTTGCTAACTGTCTGCAGCAGAAACTTAGGAGAGCAGGATTTCGTGTGCTGATGTGCAGCCTAGAAAGGGATTAATTTAATTCAAGTTGTTTGGACAGTTGAAGGTTGAAAAGAAAAAATGTGAAGCATGTGATGCCTGGTTGAGGTTTTTTTTTTTTAACTAGCCCTTCCTCACTCCATTGTGGCAGAGGAGCTGGTAATTTCTATCCGCAGCCTGCTGGGCTGTGGCTGTCCGATACCTGTTTACTGGTGTTTGCACAGTGGTGAATGGTGGGCTGAGACACATTTGAGCGAGGGAACCACGTTCAGAGATGTGTTGTACGCCAGACCTAGCGGGCAGTCGTGCAGCCTGATTGTGTTGGCAGAGGCAGGGCTATTTGAGGTCTCCTGTGTGCCACACAGTGTCACGCATAAAAAAGTGTCACCCAGGTATCAGAAACATGGAGAGCCTGGCTCATAGGGAGCGGTCTTCTGTACGATGTGTTAGTTCTGCAAAATGCGGGGACAATTTTCATGGAGGTCTGGTTATTTAACTACCTTAGGGAACCTGCCCGTCTATTACAAGAGTGTTCCCTTAGAAACTCTACATGTGTTTTGATCCAGAGCAGGTGGCTGACTTGCCTGGTGCGGTGTTACTTTTAAGCCTAAAAGCATAGAAGAGTTCTGTAGTATTTCTTACAGCATGCTCCCGCTTTAGAGCATACACTTCAAAAATTCTGCCCGCTGTCAGTGTAAAGAAGCTTCTTTCAGTTCTGTTTCTGTAACACTGTTACAGGAGGGGAAGGAGGAGAAAGGATGACAAGAGCCCAAGGCTGCCCAAGAGAAGGTAAACTATCCCCGCTACTCAGTTCTGTTTGAAAGACTTTCTTCCCTTGAGTTGTACACAGAGATGTTGATTGTCTCAAAGCCATCTCTCTTGCACAGTATAGAAATCTTCCTTAAAGGGGAAAGAAATAAAAACAGCAGTGTGCCTTGACTTCCCTCCTTTCCTTCTCCCTGTAGGTGTGGGTTTGATTTCTTCCAGCTGAACCAGCCCTGCACCCCGCCCCTCCCTAACCCTTTCTGAGTGCATCCCTAGCCTGGCATTGCCCAGCAATAAGGTTCTGGGAAATCTGTGTCTCCTGGGGTTTTCTCAGCTCTGGGGAGACCCCTCAAGTAGTCCTAGGAGTGGAGGGAAATCATGGACAGAACCTCTATCAGGAATATTGGAGCAGTAATTCTCACACTCACGCTCATTTATCTTGCTGCTGGCTTCAGATGCATCAGTTAACCACTTTGCCCGTTTCCATGCTGACTTCTTAGGAAGAAGCCTCCGATACAGTACGTCCGCTGTGAGATGGAAGGCTGTGGCACAGTCTTGGCTCACCCACGTTACCTGCAGGTTGGTTCAGATTTTTCACTTCATGAACGGCACGTGTGAGGGCAGGGAAGGGCCTTTTAGAACAGGCAGCTAATCCTCCACTGGCATGGAAGCACTCCTTTCTAACGCTGTCATCTTGGTAGACTTAATCAGTTGTGGCCACGTGTGTCTCCATATCTGTCCTGTTGCTAAATGTCCACATTCGTTTGGCTTTCTTCTCTCAATGGAGATCAAAGCCTTTGTTCAATGGCTCAAACGGTGTCTTGTCAGTGATTGGAGTTGGGTGGCCCGCTGAGGGACCATCTGGGATTGATGCGTCTCAACTGTTCCCTTAGCCATAAGAGGGAGTCTACAACCTTTCACTCTTCCTTTGTAGCATCACATAAAGTACCAGCACTTGCTGAAGAAAAAGTACGTGTGTCCTCATCCCTCCTGTGGTCGGCTCTTCCGACTCCAGAAGCAGCTCCTGCGGCATGCCAAACACCACACAGGTACAGGGAGGTGGGAAATAGATACAAACTCCTCCTCAGGTCAGTGAACAGAGAGGGGAAAAAATGGAAAAGCCTCTAGGACTTCTGGGGATTGTGAAACCAAGGCAAGTGGCATAGATTTGCAGCTGCAGCAGAGTATTGTTTCCTTATGGATTACCGTCTTTTAAGGAAATTAAAGAAGTAGGCTATAGAGTTTTTAATTCACCCCCTGGCAAGTATCAGAGGGATAAACCAAGCCAAGCTTTATCCTAATTTGCCAGTCCTTCAGTATCGGTCAGAATGGATAATTAGCTCTCAGGAGAGTCTTAATAACACCTTACCTCTCCCGATCAGCTGCTGTGGTGTACTGTGGGATGCCTCCTCCTCTACTGTGCCTGCTGGCCTCCCAGCACTTATCGTTTGGCTGCTCCTTGGGCAGCTTTACCTGCAACATGTGAGAGCTGGGAAAGGGAGCAGGTCTGCAGGAGAGTAATGCTTCAACTGGTGTTGCTTTTTAGATCAAAGGGATTACATCTGTGAGTACTGTGCCCGGGCGTTTAAGAGTTCTCATAACTTGGCGGTGCACCGAATGATCCACACAGGCGAGAAGCCCTTGCAGTGAGTACCTCTGCCTGTCTCTTGCTCTCCTGCTTTGAGGGACCCTTGGATTCACCTGGGCTTGGAGTGCACCAAGAGCAGGGGCGGCTCTGAGGTCAGGGCTGGAACCTGTTCTTGGTGTCCCGGCTCTCTCTAAACGCACAGCTGTAGGAGTGTTCGAGGTGCCACTTGCCTCACCTGCTCCTTGAGGCAGGGTCTCAGTAGAGATCTGAGGAACATAAGCCCTCTGCAAATAAAACTGGGAGAGCTGGCGCTATGGTGACATCCCATTTTCTCGAGCCCCTGCTGTTTTCATGGGCTGCCTCTTTGCTACTGCTGTCCCCACAAGTGTGTGGGGATGTCTCTTTGTTGTGACCTCCCCCTTCTCCCCTCCCAGGTGTGAGATCTGTGGATTCACCTGCCGGCAGAAGGCTTCGCTCAACTGGCACATGAAGAAGCACGATGCGGACTCCTACTACCAGTTCTCCTGCAACATTTGCGGCAAGAAATTTGAGAAGAAGGACAGCGTTGTGGCCCACAAAGCCAAGAGCCACCCCGAAGTGCTCATTGCTGAAGCGCTGGCTGCCAACGCAGGTGCCCTGATCACCAGCACCGACATCCTGGGCACTAATCCTGAGGGCATTGCACCACCCACCGATGGCCAGGGCCTCCCCCTTCTTCCCGACCCCCTGGGAAGTGCTGCCCCAGCAGATTGCCTGCTGCTGACCCCTGACGGGATGCCGAAGACATACTGCGGTGGGGCAGAACGCGTGAGCCTGGTGGCTGATGGCAAGCTCTTTGTGGGCAGTGGCAGCAGTACAAACCCAGAGGGGCTGGTCATGAACACAGAGATCCTGGGAGCCACCACGGAGGTGCTCATAGAAGATTCAGACTCTGCTGGACCGTAGTGGGCAGGGAGCACGTGGGTGCTGGGACAGTTTGGACTCTGTATTTAAAAGGAAAAAAAAAAAAAAAAAGCCTTTTGTATTATACTTAGTGAAAGAGAGAAAAGTTAAATGAGACTTACAATACTATAAATAGCCGAAGGGTCTGCTCCCCTCCAGCGTGGATCACAGTACATCCTCTTTCTCCCAACCACTTCTCTCTCTCCCACAGCTCCTTTGTAGAAAGGGGTATGTGCTGCCATTACCAGAGCAAGTTGGATGGAGTGACGGATTTCTTCAGCGGAGGAGGGGACTGCTGAAACCCTTCGCTCTACCCCAAAGCAAATGCCTTTCTGGTTCCTTGATGTGGTTCCACTTGCAACCTAGAAAGCATTTGATGTGCTCTGGGCGAGTTTCTTAGGACTCCCTGTCGGCCCTGGTCCCGACTTCTATGCATTGCTGCACTCTGGTCCTTGCAGTCTCATTCTTCCTCCCGGGGCTGGGAGTTTGGCTTGGCACTTTAGGCCCCCTCAGCAGGGTGAGCTGTGAAACAGTGCACGTCCCTCTTCCCACTGCGCTCCTCTGCTCCAGCTCTGGCAGGAAGTCGAGGGAACGCCCTGGCTCATAGATGATGTTTGCTTGGAGAGGCCCGGGGGCTACGGGAGCCCTGCGTGGGAGAGGCAAGGAGGAGCATCCCAGTTTGACGACAGTAATTTGCACTTTGAACATGTTTCGGTTTTGTGTTGTGGTAACAGGATTCCTTATTTATTGATAAAAAAGGGTCGGTATTTTTTAGTTATGTTCTTAGGGGGTGGGTGGAAGGGGTTCAGCCTGTTTCCCAGTAGCACTGGTGAGCTGCAGGGAGCGCGTCGTGCCACCGTGACAGCAGCTGGGAGAGCTGAGGTGAAGGCAGCATTCTGGACTCGGATGTCTCTTGCAGCTTTTCCAGAGTAGAGGCAGAGCCCTTGGAGAAGAGCCTGTTTGCAGTGGGAGTCTCTGCAGCAGCATTTTAGCGGGAGGATGAGGTGAGTGATGGAACGGCTGGCTGTGGTCTCCCTCCCTCCCACGTCAGGGTGAGCTCCTTGCATTAAGTGCTCTTTTTGCCTCCCCCTTGCTCCCTAGCCTTTCAGGGGAGAAGGTCGTTAGCCTGGAACTTGTTCTTGTGATTTGGGACAGTTGTGAGCTGCTTGCTGCTGGGGGATCTTGTGCTCCTCATCCAGCTCTGCCTTTCCTTTCCAGGTCTAGACAAAGTTACAGAAGCGGGGTCTGGATGAGGTTGTCTCAGGCTTGTTTATCCAAGGCAATAGACTGATGTGGGACTAAGGGGCTGTCAGTTTCTCTCCCCACCCCCGTTTTGGGAAGAGGGTGTTGTGCAGCTGTACTCTCAAAGCTTCTCTGTTCTGCACGAACACCCCTGCTTTCCGTGGAGCAAGGCAGTTCAAGTGTTGCCTGCCAGTGTAGTTAGGACAGCCTGAGCCCTTGGAAGAGTCTACATGGGACACGTGTCTGCTATGGAGACTTGGATCTTTTTGCTTTTATCTGAAACTTTGTGTGGAGATTCAGTGGCCTTTAATCATAGTGGTTTTGGAAGAGGTGAAGAATAACCTGGGCTTTTTGTTTGCTTGTTTTTTCGGTTTGGTTTATGTGGTTGGGTGCAGAGCTGAAGTATCTTGTCCAAGCACAAGATCAGCTCAGTTGGTCTGTAGCACACAGCAGCTAGGCAAAATCAGGTACCTGGGGTCTGGAGAATGGCAGTAAAATGTGAGTTTATTTGGAACCTTTTTACAGGAAACTGACTCTGAACACCCACTCTGTCCCCTGTGCTGCCTGGAAATCCAGCTGTGGCCCAAGCCTGACAGCTTTTATTGGCCCGTTTGCCCTGATTTGCCCCCTCCCTTCCCCAGTACACTGATATCTTTGTCAGAGCAAGTTGAAACACTTCTGGTGTAGGGGTGGTTCATGGCTGAGCAGTTTGCAGCCCTGGTGTCTTAAGCCCTGGGTGTGGGCATCCCACGTTCTTGTGCTGTGGCAGCAGCAGGGCTCACGTGCCTGCAGGAGATGCATCCAGCCGCAAGCCGCTCCCCGAGATCAGGATGAGGGCCTGGCATACCTGAACACAGGTCTGGGACAGTGCCTGTCAGGTCCGTGGCAGTACGGTGCTAGACTAAACCAGTTTCTTCAGTTGGGATGATCCAGTTTCTTGCTTGGATCAAATTATTGTGATTTCCAGCAGGAAGCTTTCAGGTGGCCAGCCAGTCAACCCCTTGCAAACTAAAGAGAACACTAATAAGACTTGTTCAAACCCAACTCTGATGGTTTCACCCCCCGGCAGTGTGGGTCTTTTGTCCAGGTAGACTTGGGGCTGGCTGAGCCACATGGTGTGGTGGCACGTCTCTTGGCCTGGATCCCGGCCACCGGTAGCAGATGTGCTCGTGTGGCTGGGCTGGCCGCGTCGTCCCCACGCTTGGTGCAGACTATGCTGCTGGAGCTGCTTCTTGTGTCCTGCCCCCTGCGGAGCGGGCAGAGCCTTGCACAGAACACTAAACGGAGAGCTCAGGGTTTTGTTTTCTGAGGGATGGCACTAAAATGCTTTTGGGTCAGGGGCTTGCTCACCTCTGGTGACGCAACGCTTGGCACTGGGCTGGGAGGCGAGGGAGGCTGCCTTGTCCTGCGGCTGCCCCAGCTGCCCTGAGCGGAGCAGAGTTTGCCTTCGGCCACGCTGCTGGGATGCAGAATCAAGCAGCTCATTTGCTTCCCAGCCTGGACACATCCAAGCCCTGCCACTCCCCGCCTCGTCCTGTCCTTCCGTGCACACCTCTTGTAGCTCTCCTTTTTCTGGTCTTGGCCAGTTGCCTGTCTGTCCTTGTAACCGCAGCCTGCGAACCCCTGGTGCAGGAGAGGCTGGTGCAGCTGCCCTCCCGCTCCCATTTAAAACCCTAAAACTGACACAGCTCTCCTGCAGCTCCTGCTCCCCTCGGTGTCTCTCCTTCACTCGCATGCAGTATGCTTCAATAAATTATTGTAGTAGTTTGCAATAAACTTTTTTGTATTTTTTTCCCTGTATTTATTTTTTTTTTCCTCCTCCTGAGGAGTGAGGCGAGGGGACGCAGGGCCCTTGGCTGCTCTCCGTGCCCCAGAGAGCCGGCGGGTGCTGTGCCCAGCGGCATGCGGCCCCCCGGGGGCTGCAGGGTTTGGGTGGGGGGAGCCGGGGGCTCCCGGAGCTTGGCAGTGCTTTCTGTGGTAGCCACCAGGTGGCAACGACGCTGCTGGGTTGGCCACCACCCCTGGGAGCGGGGCAGGGAGGCTGGGGCAGGCCCAGGGTGCTGTGATACTAAAGGGAAACTGCTTTTCAACTCCTGTTTTTTCTCTTAGCCTGGGTCATACATAACCAAAATAAACACACTGAGCAAAAACCAAACCAAACCAAAGGGCTGCTTGTGTCTTGGTGCATGTTGCTCATCCGTGGCGGGGGGCTGGTGTTGAAC